GCCCTTAAGTAACCTGCTTGTTTTGTTCAGGTCCTCATTTCACAGGAAGACTTAGACAGCATCAGCAAAACTTTATTGTCTGTATTTGCATAGAACGAGATGCAGAATCAAGGATGAGAGAAGAGCTGGGAAGTATAACAACTTAATATTCCCCAAAGGTCTTACATTTATGAAATGACAGATCTGAGCCCTTTGAGAGTTTGCAGCTTGGACAGACAGTAGGGAAATAAGGCAGCTGCACATCACAGCCTTCAGACATCTAGCATAAAAGTGAATGGAGCTGTCTTCAATTACATCTGTCCATTTCTGCCAGGTGTGAAGGTGTATGGGAAGTTACTTTGATCAGCAGTTAACTGCTGATGAACACTCTGCAGAGATCGGTAAGCCTGTGTGACACTGGGTAAATGTTTTGAGGAGAACGTGGATCCATGTACTGTACTGCCCCAGAGCATAGATAGGGGGATTTAATCAAGTTGAATTTTATTTACTCTACCTTCTCTGTGAATTTGTCCAACAAAAAGAAGCCTGAATCCAGATGTAGTTTTGGGGAGCATTAATACCTCTGTTTTCCCTCTCACCTTTCCCACTTGTCACGCTCCAGGCATTTCTTTTTGTTCTTTGTAAATAGTTTGGGGCAGAGGGTTCATCTGTATACATGAACTTACATATACAAGCTATCACATGTACCCAGGCTGCTAGATGCTTCCGGTAGGTTGGGAGGCACTAGCAAACTATATAATCCCTAAAGGCTTTCACCACCCAGCAATGCAAGGCACAGTCCTATTCTTGACAGACTTGCTTCTCAGAGCACTGGTCCTAAATCAAAGACAATGAGAGTTCCTCATTCCATTATCTTTTTGTCAGAGAAACTCTAAAGTTTACAGTCCCTCCTGCAAACCAATGTGTAAAGCTGCAGCAAGAAGCACCAGTATGTGGATGAAGGGTTTGCAGATATTTCTGCAAGTTCAAGCCACAAGAAACGTGTGCTGAAAGCAAAGTGAGTTCAGTGTTCAAAGGAGAAATGGAAAAGTTATTTGTTGTAATTACATTCAGACTGATTTGCTTGCCACTTGTTGCTCAACACCCCTACACATAGTTTAGCTACTGCCACTAGCAAATGCTGAAAACTTGTAGAGGCAAAGTTCAAGAAACTGCTAGAAAGCTTGTCCTTTGACAGCAGATGGCTGTAGTGCTTCAGCCACTGGATGGTCTCGCCTTGCAGTGAAGTGTTCTTCACCTGGGTTTCCATGCTACTCAAGTAGTGAAGAAGATACAGATCTTGTCAGAGACTCAGTCAGAATTTGTAATCCCAGTGGCTGAACTATAATATGTGTTTTTACTCCAGGTATGACAAAGATCCAGTCCAGTTTGTGTACATATGAGTGGCACTGGAGAGACGGCATGGGAGATTGGGGCTGCCTTATGTATGAAACCACTGCTTGTGAAGACACTAGCTTTTGTTTTAACTAGGACCCGTGCAAAGAATGTTAGAGTGCAGGGAAGGTGAAAAGATGGCACACACCTGTGCTGATCCTGCCCTATACTGAGTAGCACTTTGCTTTACTGTGATTCCAACTGTTTGTCTCTAGTGGAAACATGGAGCTGAGTGAGTGAGAAGTAAGCTATCCATTGCAAAAATCTCCCAAGTCTCTAAAGACTGTGAATGTCTCTTGTACTTCTGCCTGCAGACAGAGTCAGTGACTGTCACAGAAGGTTGCTATTCTTGCTGTTCATTTAGTTCCATGTTTGCACATAACTGAAGAGGGTACTTTGAAAGGTGACAGATCATAGATGATGTAGGACTTATGTTGTGCATATTATGGTATAACAAACCTGTGGAACTTGCTACTGAAGGAGATGGGGGAAAAAATGGTGTCCAAGCAGGTGAGCAGCACAACTCACCACACCTGGTTTTGCAGGACTTTGAACTGTGGTGGTCCTTTCTGATTCTGCAGACACTATATATATGTTTCGCCTCAACTTCCCTCCTTCCTCAAACCCTCAACTACTGTAGTTAGCCATGAACTGCATAAGAGACTACGTGTCCTGCAAGTGAGCGTGCAAGAGCCCAAAGCTAGGCAAACACTGATTGCCCACCTAGCTGCTGCCTCTTAGCTGCCAGGCAAGCCAAACAGCCTGCACTTCCTCGCAGCTGCTGGCAGGCCAAACAAATAGCTTCAGAAGCTGCAGTCAACCCCTGGGCCATGTGCTGTGGAGACCTGTTGTAGGAACTTGCGGTGTTAAAGCCCTTCAGCCCTTTGTCAGATGTGACTAAAATTGGCCAAGAGTCAGAAATTAGTGGGAGGGGGAAGACTGGCAGCTGACAGCAATCACAGAAGCCCTTCCCCAGGCTAACCATGACATGAGTAAGCATGAGTCATAGCATAAATTGATGAGCCTAAAATTATCTACAAGGATGAATACTGTCTAACTGGCCCAACACATTGTGGGCTTTCTGCTTACTCTGGAATTGGCAGATTTTGGCTTTGGGTGCAGATAGGCTGACCGCTTGACTCTAGGCCAGTAGTAGCCTGACAGCTCCAACTGCTTTTTTTTTTTTTTTTTTACTTGGGTGTGCTGCTTTTGCTTTTACATGGAGATTCAGTAGGAATCTTCTTGCCTACATTGTAGCCTCTAGGCATTACTGATTTGATGCTGAAGCTGGTATTTTCTTCTCCTGGCAGCTCCTTGCCCTCCAGCAATGAATCCAAGCTGATGCTCTAGCACCCTCCCCTCCTGCATTGTTCCCAGGCTGTCCTGTCAGGCGTAAAACAAATACTCAGTGGCTCAGAGCTTCTTGCATCCAGGAGAAATTGTATTTTTACACTGGCTCTGAACCTCCTCTGCAGAGCCAAAGCAAAATTAATTTGCCCCTATCACGCACATCCTCTTCAACGGTGGAGCCAGGAAAGACTGAAGAGAATTAACCTTTTCTGTAAATTTCTATGAGACTGGAAATATCCTGCTTTTCACTTTCTCTTCTTCCTCTTTCCCAGCTGCTGCATCAGGGAAGCCAGTCTTCCCTGGAGCAGGAGAGTGCCGCCTTCCTTTTCCCTCTACTAATGCTATGAGTTTATTTTAAGAAGTTTCATACCTACGCAGGATTGCTATAGCTAGTCTTGGCTCTCTATAGCTATTAGCTAGACCAAGTAGGTGGCAGAGCTTGTTAGAGTACCTGCTGCCCACTCAGAAGCAGCCAAGAATAGCTGTAGCCTCTCTAAGGGGTCAAATATACAAGTCTGGAGCTCCAAGGGTCCCTTCCTGTGACGCATATGACATTACCATCATAGCCATGGGAATATGCTACTGTGTGAAACTACACACAGACATTTGGGAATTAGGGCAGCCTGTAATGCCAAACAAAGAAAGGGCATCAAGGGTTCTGGTCTCCCTGACTTCCCTCTTTTCAGGTGTCACAAATGCCAGTGCAGCCTTGTGCACTGTTAACTGGTCAGGCAGAACCCACCAAAATCCTTCTCCCAGCTTAGGGACAGCTTGCTCCAGGAATGCTGCCTCTTTCTCCTTTGCAGTGACTCATTAGCCCATGTTCTTGCACAGGCTCCTGGACGGTCCAGCTAGAGAAAGGAGGCACTGTGGTGGTGCTGCGGAGCCTGCTGTGGCTGGGACTGACGTTCTACCATGTCCCAATGACCAAGCAATATGGCTACGTCTACTTTGGCACTGGCGAGAAGAACTTAGATCTGCCCTTCATGCTGTGACTCTCCTGTCTGGGACAAGGACTTGAGAACATTTAGATTTTATACTTAGGAGATTTTTATTTATTGCTTGTTTTAATAAATGTGTGAAACCTCCGCACTTTGAGCAGGATTCTTTTGTGCCTGGACTCTCGCCCTGACTCTTTTCCTAGGACTTCACTGTGTGCAATCCTCCCTCAACTCCAGATTGAATTCCCTGTAAATGTGTCACTGCAGATCCTTTAGATAGTAACAAATGGCATTTTCTTCCATGATGGGTGAAGCCCTAGGTCAAAAATCAAACCCAGGCCATCTGTCTGATTAAAAAGGCACCATGCTTACACAAAAACTCATTTGGAGACAACATGAACAAATGCCTGCTGTCACCCACGAATGACAAACAAAAATAGAGTTTCTGCCTTGCAGTCAGAGTAGAAAGCTAATGCATACTGTAAGGGATCTCTACTAAACCCTGAGCTCCAGAAAGGCGTATTAGAGAGAGTGTTTTGTTTTTCAGATGGTCAGTTTCACCAGTATTAGAGGGGTCCTTCCAGCTCACGGCACTGAACTGTAGAAAATAACTGCGGGCATCACCACACTTTTGCAAAATGTGTTCATTCAGGTTCATCTCAGGGCAATGGTTCAATCCGGTGACTTTTCTGTTAGTAAAACTCACTGAGCAGAGCTACCTGGGCTAGAAGACATAGTAACTTCTGTACATAGAAGAAAGAAAAATCTTTTCCTTTCTGAAGGGCTGTAGGTTTCAAAGCTTCATAAAATGGAGACGGTCAGCCAGAGATTTTATCTCAGTAGTTAAGGAAGTCTTGGCTCTGTCTCCCAAAGCAAAAAGATCTTGGCCAGCTCAAGGGGCTGAATGTAGGGCTTCCATTTCACAAAGTAAGGCTAAAAAGAACCATTATAATCTAATTTGATTTCCTGGGTAATACAGGTTTATCCTTACACTTTGTTCCTGTCCATGCTGATAGTTATTAGCAGATGATTCTGATGAAAGCAGTACAAGGTTAAGTGGTTTAGTACTACATAAAAAAAGCTGTGTTCATTTGTAGCCCCCAGATAAATATCAAAGAAATGGAGCCAAAGCAATAATGACCCTGATAAATTTAATGAGCCTTTCATACCAGGCCCAAAAGTAGCACTTCTCAAGTAGCAGTGGTCAGTAGGTGGAAGATGCATACATGTACTGCACAGGGAGAGAAATGGTGCCACTTTTTAGTTACAGGATGGAAAATTATGCACCTCTATCAGTCCCAAACTATCCCAGGAAGCAGCCGTATCACTGACATGGAAGATTTGTGGCAAATATATTTGCAAGGGGAAAAAAAAAGGCCAAGTCATCAAGGATGTCAACATTCTATATTTGCTAGATCCAGGAGTGAAGCACAAGCCAAGAATCCTTAACAGGACACGTAAGATGCACACATGGCTGTCTGCCACTGCCACAGGTGTTCGGCTGCAAATTATAGATAGTACAGATTATTAAAAAAATTAATTTCAGTAGTCATTAACAATTTCTGCTACTGCCAAGGAAACATAATGCTGCAGGAGACTTTTTCCTCCATCAGTATCACCGGTACAAAAGCTCAAATAAGGCAAATCTGAGTTGAAACACACGTTAATGAGGAATCACAATTCATTGCTGGAAAAAGAAGGAAACATCCTTTTCCGAACCCAATTGTGGACCATAATGAAACAAAGGCCTTCAGATCCTTTCTGGCTTCGAGGTAGAAGTCTTTGCCCCCTGCTTTCTCCAAATCATTCTGCACATTGAAATTTGCTTTGTATTTTCCTAGAGCAGATCGCAGCTCATTCACTGGAGACAATGTAGAGTATTAACGACAGTTTTGGAATAAGAAAAATGGAGATACTGACAAACTTGAAACAAAAGCAGAACAGTGGAAAACAGCTATGCTTACTCAGTATGCCAGTTCTGGCCACTAGTGGTTTAAATAGAGAGGCTTGTGTGTATATTTGACATTATCCTTCAGCAAAGGGTGTCCGATTGGCATGGGTTTTTTGCACCACTTAGGGCCCCTCTTCCAGATGGGCTTTGCAGATTTGACGGACCAGCGGGTCAGATACCTGTCAAAACAACACAAACCCATTTCAGTTTGAGACTGATCACTGAGAAAAGGTTCCGACTGAAGCAGAAGCAGGCACGATAGCCCTTTCGTTCCCACATGCCTCTTTATAAAAGGAATAATCGTGAGCAGAGCTCCCTCAATTCAGAAGGGACCATGGGAAATTAATTTTTGTTTGTTTTGGAGCTTCTAAGCTGCACCTCTGTACTGAACCCACTGGCACCTGTTTGACTTCCAGTCTCCTGAAACAAATCAGGTGTAGTCTGCAAGCTGCTGGCAAGTTGTCCACCTGTGGCTAAACTAGAGTGCCAAATCCCTTCATTGCAACTAAGTCCAAGACTGAATGCATCCAGCCTCTATGGTAGGTGTTATTTCAACAGCTGGCCTCAGTAAAGTAATTACAAAGGCTAAACTCCGTGAGAAATAGAGTCTCTGAAACAGGATTCATTTTCTTTCAGTGGATAACTGGGTATTTCTTCTGTATGGGATGGGTTTCTGGCCTAGTCTTGTATTTTCATATGTCCAAATTTGCTTTAGTATTCTCTGTACAATACTATTGCAGCTTGCTGGTGCAGGAAGTCAGAACCTACAATGTAAGAAGTACTAGAATGGAATTATCATCACAACTACAAATCCCTGTGAAGAGCAACGTCTGGCAAATATCCTCTGCTTTTTACCATTTGAAGTTTTAGACTTGGCTTTGCAAACAGGCAGGGGATTTCAGATCCAGAATCAGTTACTGGAAATCTTACCCTGTGGCTGGGTGGCCTGGAGTTTTGTTAGGCTTTAAATCTTTTGCTACCAGTAGAGAGGGGAATAGAGGTCCTTAGAGAAAGAGGAGCCTTTTCAGACAATAAAGATTCAAAATAAAACCCTAGCATAATCTGCACAAACAATGCTCCAACAAATTAGAATTTGGAACAGACTGATAAACTTTGTCCGGTGATGTTTGCATGCCTCTGTTGAGTAATCCCATGGTCTTAATGTAACCTCAATCAGTCATCCTCTCCCCAAACAGCTTTGTTACCTTTTATTTGCATCGTGCAAATTTGAGATATTAAGAACGTTGGACAGAGACCATGTAATGCATTTGTTTGAAGGCATTTGGCACATTCCTGAGAAGCTTGCTATGCCAGGCAGCTAGAGAGTATACAACAGCAGTCCGTTTTCCTAGCACTTTTCTTTCTCAGCAATCCTGAACAGCATAAATTGAAAAATTAACCACATTTGGAGGTTCCTGCCACTGACATGAACCCACTTCCAAAATGCTTTGCTTTCGCTTTGAGGAGTTTATGATAGTTAAAACACCTAGAAGCAAGAGCAGGAGGGATTTGGGAGACAGCATAGAGCAAGATCCAGCCACTTGTTCTCCTATGCATGCATTAAATTAGTTCCTTTTGACCTTTAATGTTATGCTAGTGCATTAGTGGAAGCCCTTACATAACAACGTCAGGACAGGAAGTAGGAGAGACTCTCCTGTCTCTAATTTCACATGCAAAGGGAGTTCAGAGAGTCCAAATGCAGGTCTCCAGTTCAGAATCTGGCAAAGAACCATGGCAAGGCAGCTCCTTTGGGAGAAGCTGTAGGGGTATTTGACGGACACACGGGGCTAGGTCCTTCTTTTTACATTCCCCTTGCTGCAGGGGGAGGTCTGTAGCGCAAGTTTTGATATCGCAAGACTGCATTTACAGCAAAGGAGGAAAAAAATCCCAGATTGTTTTAATGCATCAATGTGCCAAGTGCAGTTCTGGTCACGTGTCCACACACTTACGGGAAAGTGCTCCCGTGATAATAAATGATCTCACTGGGAGAGAAGTGAATGTGTGAATGTGAGATACACATCAATGCTGTGTGCAGGTTTAGACAGACAGTGGCTTTTTAAGAAATCCCTCTGTTTCTGTGTGGGGGCTGGAAGTGCACACCCCAATTCTGCATAGGAAGGAGGATTTAGTAATGGCCTGATTTTAAAGCTTTTGTTATTTCTCTTTTGAGCAGGTCTAATCCAGCCCTCTGGTCCAGGCTTTTGGCTTCCTTTGGGGACTGCAGGCTGGGGCTTTTCATTGTTAGCTGAAACAGACATTTGGACGCTTTCCCTTCCTGGAGCACATTTGCTTTTAGCGCTTTTAATACTTGCTTTGTCCCAAACTCAAACTTGTCCTATTTTGTTTGGTGCCTCTTTTTTTTTCTTTCTTTTTTTTTTTTTCTTTTTTTACCTTGATTCAGCAGTGGCAAAAGCCTGATGCCTGGGAGCAGTCAGTCTACAAAGTTCCTTTTCCTCTTTGACTAACCCCAGTTCCTACTGTTGCACAGATTATTTTGTTTCTCAAGGGTAACAACAATCCACAAAACTCACATGCGAGAGCTTCAAAGCCCAGCACATGGGACTTTTCTGCAAGTTCTGCTGTCCACGAAAGGTAGTGTACCCTCTTTTCTAGCCAAGTCATCCAACTTTCCATTGTATCCAACCACACAGTTTGTCTTGAGGAGTTTTTACAATAACCTACACACACTGGGAGATCATCTGAATTTTCTCAACCAGCTGAGGATTGTCAGGACAGAGCCTCCACGTGGATGCCAAATGCAGTTGGTCCACAGCCTCCTAACCTGTCACCTCAGCGTGCATAACTTACTCTGGACAAAGGGGGACAGAACTGCTAACCTCAGGGACTGGCAACTCACCTTGGGACTCCACTTGCCCCCTTGAGTACGGTAGGATCCTGGTCAACAACCAGAATCCCTAGACTCCAGCTGCACAAATGAGTAGTTTGGATAAAGCTTGTTGGGAATCCTGGTGGGATTCCCCTGATGGGAAAAGGCAAGATATAAACAGGATGGAAACAACTGTGGTTAGTCACCTGCAGTCATTGCAGTTGCCTAAAATCTCTCTGCTGTGTGGAAGTCTGTTTCCATGGATTTTATTCAGCAAGCAGGAGGGCCCCAAAGCCTTCCCACTCAGAGGCTGCCCCTTAACACCTAGAAGTAGGGACAGGGCTTCCATGTGCTGGGTAAGGGAAATGACCTACCCATGGGGCAACTGTAGTCCTGCACACAGCCCAAGCAAAGGCCATGTTGGTGCAGTTCAAGGCTGAACTTCTGAACCCTCACTGAACTTTTTCAATCTGGCTTTTGTTTGGATTAAGAGCAGAAGGCAGAGGGCTACAGACTGCAGGAAGCACTCGATCAAAGTGCTGGCAAGACTGCTTCCTCCCTGCCACATCCCTTCCCATGACACCTCTTGGCTTTGCTCACCTGCAGCCACTCTGGCTCTTTGCTTTTGAATTCATATGCTATGCACGGCACAGTTTCCATGCAGATGAGAGAAACCACATGCTGCTGGAGTGAAATGATGATAGCAGTGAAACCAGATTCTGCTCCCAGGGCCGAAAGGTGTCCACAGAGCCTGAGAACTTTATAACTCACGAGAAGTTCACATGGAACCTGCCTTTTTCCTAACACATAGCAACTGCTTCAGTTCAGGTGATAGAGGAGGGACTGACTCGGGTATTATCTGTGCCAAGTTCTGTTCTTCCAGTAGAAAGCTGAAAATAGACTGGCAGCTGAGCACTCAAAATCAGGTACTCAATCTACAGCATCTCTTGCTCACAGAGCCCAGACTCAGGGAACCTGTGACATCCCTCAGTCCTTTTGGAAAGGGAACATCTTCAATGTTGTCCTTTAACCAGTATTTTGGACCTGCCAAAAGAAAATAAGTGCTATATTCATGTTATGAAAGCATCTAGATGCTTGCCTGAACTCGGTGATTGTTCTGGACAAAGTGTTAGTCCACACTATCCATGCGACAACCTCCATGATGGAAAGAAAACTGCTGAGCTATTCAGGTTTTCATTCCTGAAAGCAAGGATAGAAGTTTGATCCACAGCTGTGTTTGACAGTTTCCCAAATGGTTCTGGTGTGTGGTGGCCTTATGCACACAGCTTTGGAATATGAGAAGAGTCTGTCACTCTGCATGGTGCTGGTGAAATCCCAGAGAACTTCCTTGGCCTCATGGGCTCATGAAAATATTTTGTTTCTGCAGCACTTAGCTGGAACATGCCAGGCTGGAGCACAAACGGATGCAGAAATAACAGCAGGAAGTTTTGAAAGGGAGAATTCAGGCTGAGGATGAGGGAACAATCCTTGGCTGCAAGGCAAATTTGCTTGTGGAATCATCCCTTGGAAACACTGAAAGCCCCAGACTGGGCCAAACATGAGAAAATTAACTGTAGGGAGCAATTCTGCATTGACAGGGGTCAACCTCAGTGTTTTTCCATGTCCAAGTTCTGCAGACAAATGATATGGAAGAGGAGGACAGTAGACACAAGAGTTCATGGACAACATGGGTACTCCAATGGCCATATTTCTGCAAAAGTACCCATAACTAGTAAAGCAGTTAAGCGATAACATTCGTGAGCTATTCCTGTCAAAAACAGATCAAGCAGAAAGCAAGAAGGCAAAGAAACTGAAGTCCAAGAAATGAGAAACATCATGGTAAGTCTCACCTGGACAGTGTCCCAACTGCAGCGGGGAGAAGAGGGCTGTGGAGCGCTCCCCAGTTGAATTCTGACCACGAGGTGTTCTCACACGTCTCCTACCACCCCCATGACTACAGTTTGTCCCAAACTGGCATTTTCACTTTCCTGTTATACCTTCTTCCGCAGTTCCCAATCACCTCCTCTATGTTACATTACACCCTGGATGGGTGATCCCATACTATGCGAGACAGCCAGATAACCAAGAACAAGGCGGGATCTGCAGGCCACAACTTCCCAAAGCATTCTGCTCTTCCTCTTGCATTCCAGTAGCAGAAACAGGAGATGAGGTGGGTAGGGGAAGGCCAGCTGCCAAGTGACCCAGTGCAAAGCAGGGAAATTTTATCTCTCTCTGCAGAGAAATGTGGGGCATGTAGGAGGTAATGTCTAAAGTTAATACAATGGAGACACAATAAAACCACTTCAGAAAACAGAGCAGGGATTCTGTTTTTGGGAAAACATCATTGATTAA